AGATCTCGGTGTTGAACGTGACAAAGAAATTGCCCCAGGTATTAAAAAAAATCTAGGGAAGGTCAATGATCTTGTAACCTAATAGTACAAGAGGTCCTTAATATACTAGTACCTTGAGAACATTAATCTATGTCTCTTTAATTTTAAAAAGAAAAATTGATAGAATAACACACAGAGCTGCTTATAATCCCAAGAGTTTGATTAACATAACCAATTAAAAATGTTCTAATTATGCTTCTATCACTTAATTTTCCTATTTATGAGATTTGGTCTTCTGTTTTTTGATTCTTCCACACATCTTATTCTGGTGCGTCTATAAAATACTTGAATTGAAATATACTAGTATTAGGCAAGAGTGTTCAGCTCACCTAATGATTTAGTTGGCTCAATCCTACTTGATGCTCCCTCCCCTTTAAAATATAAACTTCAAATAATTACGCAAGTCAAAACATTGATTAAAAATAATAAATATGTAAAAAAAATATAACTTGTTTTTTAAAACATTCCTATTTATAAGGAAAGGGTGAGTGGGACCAAAACGAGTTGTAGAAGAGACGAGGGAAACATAAAATTAATTAACAATAAAAAATTAAAAATATATATTAAATGATCAGATAAATAAAATTGAAGCTTATAAAAAAAAGAGAATTACAATGAGGTTCCAAGTAAGGAAAACAATTGAAAAACAAGTCCCAGAGGTTGTGATTTTCACTATAGAACTTGTCATTATAAGCTGTTGTGATTGTTATTAAAACTTTTTGATAATTATTTCTTTTCTGTGAGATTTGATTGTAAATCTCCTTATAAAAAAAAACTAAATCTCTTCAAAATTTCAAAGCTCATATTTTAAACGGGGAAGTGCTTTATGTTAACCCAAAATGAAGGGCAGAGAGAATTACAAACGAGATAAACTATGGGTTGCATTTTGCAGCCCAAGGTTTGGTTTTCATTATATCGACCCTGATTTGCCCATGAAAGCTTCTAAGTTTATGGAATTCATGATACGAAAACCTCAAAAATTACTTAAATGAAATATTATCTTTTAAATTACTAAATTTAAGTTGACGAATTCAAAGTTGAAATATACATGAAGCCTTTACCCTCATCACTCATCAAACCAATTTGTGTGTTTTTCATATTTAATTCCCATCAATCTAATCAGACACGCACGCATCCCCCTTGAAATGTATATTTAATTATTTATTTTTTTTATACAAAAAAGTTTAAGTGAGTTGGTTTCCGGGAGCTCATTAGGGCCAGGGCATGCTTCCAGACTCAGAAGCGCTTATAAAGTATCTACAGATCGTCCACCAACAAGGTTCTCACATCAGTAGCAGGATTCGAACTCACGACCTTGTGGGTTATGAGCTAACTCCTCACTAACTGGATCAACTCTTGTTGGTATATTTAATTATTTATGTGATTAAGTGAAGTTTCTTCAGTGGAAGACCAAGTGGGCTGGGCCCTAACTGAATGGGCCCTTAACACATCCAGACACCTTAAGATGACCAAAATCGGTTTTGTGGGCATATATTGGGCCCAATTGAGTTTAGCTCAAGGCCCACATTCGGACCATAGTTATTTATATTTGGATCTAAATCAAAATTGTGAAGCAAAAATAAACTCTTCAATTTTTGACAAAAATGAGAGGGTCTTGCCTAAAATAAATTGCATTGTCCATGATCTATGGATAACAGAACTTCCTATAAATTTTAAGATACATGAAAAATATATAGATATATATTAATGAAGCTAGGTCTAGTGAAAGTGTTAATTCCTCATGGCAAATCAATATTCAAATTTTTATTAGGAGAGGTGTATATATTTAGTCAACAATTATTTGAACAGAATTATCTCTAACAGGTAGGAGGATATCTATACGTAGCATATATGTGTATATATATATATGGAGATTTAATATCTTTCACCAGCAACTTACAATATTCAGAAGCTTGGAATTTTTGCTTGTTTGAATACCTTCATATGAGAAGGAAAAAATTATGGGCTCTAATAAAATTCATTGACGTGCATAGATCACAAAATCACACACCATTGTTTCAGATAGACTAATAAATTGCTTTTTCTCCAAAAAGATTGATTAAGAAATTTTTGCACATTAGAGAATCTGAAGTTCATTTTTAGTGGTTTCATCGTACGTTTCAAAAATGAATTTAATTATCTGACGAGTTAGATACTCCATTTTCTATCAATTATTAACTATTACTACAAATTATAAATTGCATAGAAAGCCATTTCATTTATAAATTATAAATATTGTGTTTTTCCTTGTTGAAAAAAGCCATACAATATATGAAAGCTCACCTCTAATGAAAGAGCAGGAATTTTTTAAATCACATAAACATGATATATGTAATATACTATTCTTTTTAAAACCTCTTTTGCATACTTTTCAAGCGTGCTATATCATGGCATTAAAAAGTTAAACTCGCTATAAAAATGTTTTGAGGATAGAAATGTTTTCAAACCAATATCTAAATGCTATTCGTGATTTGAAAAAAAACGAGAGAGACAAACCAATCAATTAAAAAAATCCACCATAGTTATTAAAAAATATTATACTCCTCTAATCCTATTTATAGGGATAGAGAAAAAAGATATTTTTTAATTCTATTTATAGGGTGCTGAGAGAAATTTTTTGTATGAATATATAATTTTACCCTTCATTTATTATTGTGTTGAATTTGTTTACATGAAGTATAATTATATTAAATAGGAATAAAAATGAAAAGTTGTTGAATTTTAAATGAAAGTTAATAAAGTTTAAGATTTTTTTTAGTCTGTGTGAAAGATGTTAGAAGTGATTTATAAATAAAACTAGAGAAATAAATTCTAATAATGTTAACATAGTACTCCCTCCGTTCCTTATTATAAGAGACAAATAACTGAATTACGTTGATAAAAAAAGCAGTTAAAATTAGTTAAAAACAATTAATATGTAAAAAGTATAATTTTTTTTCCAAAAATACCCTCATTAATAAGGAGAGAGAGCATGAGAGAGAATAATGATAAATTATTAAAAGAAAGAGAAGTGGAAAAGAGAGAGAGTGTGAGTTGGAGATAATAAATATGGGTAAAATATGAAATCAACACAAAAAAGTAGAGATAACTTTTAAGTGTCTCTTATATATAGGAACATGTTATAAGCATCAAATGTCTCTTATAATAAGAAACGGAAGGAGTATCAAAGAGTCTTTGCTTGAAATACCATAACACTTCACAACCCAATATTATTCTTCCGAAATTTTCATTTCCCAAACATGTCTAGAAAACGTAGCGTGGAAAACCTTAAGCAACCGCGTGCACTTGACCTGGCTTCTTAAAATATAACTTAAAACTATAAGGGGTCAGTTTATAACTCATTTGAATAACGTTGCTAGTATAAAAATTTTGTTATTAAGCAATTTGTAAATATTTTTATGAATGTTCTTAAATTTAAAGGCATGTTACGACCTGATGAGCTCTCAAAACCAATCTTTCTAACAAAAAAATTTTCGTATAAAAAATATAATCATAAACAAATCAAAATTTTGTAAACATCCTAGAAAACCGAAACGACCCTCGAATAAAGAATCAAAAACATGCTTTGAAGTAACAAAAAGGCAAGATACACTGTTCCATATGAATGTCGAAAGGAGATTATTAGCCTAGTAGCAGCCTCAAGTCTTCGTAGTCTTTCTTTGAGAAACATATAAGCAAGTGCTGACGAGATGCCAAGTGAAAGTAAACAAATATATGTCATTTACGAATAACAATGTGCTTTAAAAAAAAATTATATCCAGAAAATATGCTTTACTTCATTCCCATCCCTATATTCTTCTAGAAACTTTTAGCTGAGCACGGGGCGAAGAATTTCCATGTGTCTGGCTAATTACCGGCTCACTGATCATCAGCATATGACCTGGTTAACGACTATGAAACTTACGCGTGATTGAAGAGAGATGCGAATTATAATTCTCCAAGGACAACCAAAGAGAACAAAATAATAATATAGGTCGGCCTCATATGGCTGCTCGCTGTCAAAGAGCTTTTAAAAGCACTGTACCCTACTCGTTCAGGCCCTATATATATAGCCTGCATCTCTATCCTCTTCCTCTCTCTACCCTCTTATTTCACTTTTCTCTCTTTCTCTCTCTATATTAAAAGTCATTAATGCCTTGGAATTCTCACTCTACAGAGAAACTCACCAATGGTTTTTTCCCCTAGCTTTCCGTTTGCTCCTCAGTTGTTTTTTCACTTCCAAATTACCAATCTGTTTAGCTCTTTTTGACCCTCCACAAAAACCAGCCTCTCCATTATGCTTCAGGCCTAAGACCCCAACAAGGAAAGAAACAAACTTATAGTATTTGCATGTGGGTATCTGTGTGTGATAATAGGATGCTCTTAAAGCCACTGGTGCATATGAATTCCGTCATCTGATAACAAAAGAACTTAAATTTGATATTGTTTTTTTAAGGACACGAATCATTGTCTGTAATTTTGTTCCTAGAAATTGTCGTGACGTAACATTGTACAGCTTCACAAGGCCAGAGTATCATACTATTTTGGTACTATGTAATGACAACCATCAAAGGTTCAGAAATCACATTAATTGATTTCACATCTCCCGCATCACTTATTTCTGTTTACCTATTTTTTATTATTGGTGTTTTATATGACTGTTCAATTTTTTTAAAAGCCCATTTCAACAATTCAACGAATATATATTTTTTCTGTTTACCTCAGTAGAATGAACTAATGCGGTTGTTACTAATTAAGTTAATGTGCGGTTGCTGTTACCAAAAGATCATGCACCTTTGTTAGAAAGTGCAAAGGAATTGCAAATCGGAAAAAAGGTTATTCTGTTCCGAGTGTTCTATGGACTTTGATTAAAGAGCTATTTACAGAATCCATGAATAGACCCATCATCCATCATCAATATCTGTTCCAGAAAAATGTACGGTAAAAGCTTGAAAATCCCAATAAAGCAATGAAATTAATGGAAGCCTCCAAATTCCTTTGCTTTCTCAGTCATTTGTTACATTATTTGAGCGTATAAGTGATCACTAGCAATAGAACGTTGAATCTCAATAGTAGAAAAGTAGAAGCACTATAACTAGATGTGAAAAGCTAACATTTTATATATTCACACCAAGTAAGAAGAAGATAAATTTCAGCCAGATGGAACAGGAACTAAATAATTTCACAGTTTTTTAATATTTGATTCAAACAATTTGACCTTGTTGCTGTTGCTGGCATGGCTTTACTCCAAAAGGAACATGACTTGTTGACATTGCTCCAACTAGGTAGCAAAGTTTAGGGTTGTTCCATGCCCCAAAACGCCTTCCCATTTTTCCATAGAACTCTTCAGAGAATTTAAGTTCTCCTGTCAGATTATTACCGTCCAGGTGTAGTGCATTGAGACAAGGAAGTGTTGCAAGTTCTGGAGAGAGATTTCCTGTGAGGTTGTTGTCACTGAGACCTAAATGTCTCAATCTCTTCAATTTTGATAGTGACTTGGGAATTTCCCCTCTCAATCCCACATTTGAGAGCTCAAGAACTGTCAGGTTCGGAAGGTTTTCCCAATTTAGGATCCTCATGCTTCCACCTATTGGATTATTTGACAAGACTAATTCTTCTAATGAATACATGTCTTGAAAAGATTGTGACAACCCCCCGGAGAATTTGTTGTTCCTGAGGTCCATGAGGGTCAAGCTCTTGAGATGGCCAATCTCTTTTATCAGATTGCCTTCTAAATGATTGTTGCTCACATCAAGCTTCAACAGTGAAGTTAAGCTTCCAACTGATGGAGGCAAAGGCCCAGATAGTGAGTTTCCACTTAGATCAAGGATTAACAACTCAGTAAGGCCATGAAAAACATCTGGAATGTGCCCAGATAATGAATTTCCTGCAAGGACTAGTCTTCTCAACTTGCTGAGGTTGCCGATGTGTGGTGGTATTTCACCTGCTAGGCCATTTTCTAGCAGTATTAGAGATTGAAGGTTCTTGAGGACACCGAGAGAGGAAGGAATGGTTCCAATAAGACCCGGGTTGGATCGAAACTCGAGAGATTCTAAGCTGCAACTCAGTTTCTCCCAGTTTCCTTTGGGGATGTTAAATGGGAATTTGTCTGGTGATTGAAAACAATTGAAGAAAGACAAGACTTTAAGGTGCCTAAGCTCAAATAAGTGGGGTCTGAATTCCAAGTTCGAGGCACAAGTAAGAGAATTATCATGTACAGGTCCAATGTTCAAGGTAGTAACATACCAGGAACCATTTATCATATCACAGGAGACACCCTGCAGTATAATTCAGCACAGAAATTAAGTTGAATTGTTAAAAACTCAAACTTGAGAGCCGTAGATATACAGTGGGTTATGAACATGATCACTATGCATTGCATGTAACTTGTACAAAGAACAGTATAGACTTTTGACAGATAATTACAGTTTCGGTACTTGCTGCAAAAGTAACACTACCAAACCAAGTCACTTGTCTAAAAAAATTTTTCTTCCTTTTGCTTGCAGCAGAATCCAAAAACTGAAATTAACCAAGGACACTGGTCTCTATACTTGAAGAAGAAAGAAATCCAAATTGTCTAGGGTCTTATCTTGAGCACAGTGGAAAGGTATATGTACCTGAATAGGAGTCCAGCCACAAGGATCAGGATAGAGATCTGAGCCATTCCACCAATTACCAACAAAGCCTTGTATGGTAGAGTAAAGTGCTTCAAGCTCTTTCTTCTCCATTGGAGCCGCAGCCACATCGGCTTCTTCTGTTTGTCCAAAACACCTTGAACCGACAAAGAGAATGAACACAGCCAAAATGGCACGACTAATAACGGTAGTTTTAATGCTCATCATGATGATTATAATACAGGTATCGAGTCAAAATAGGATCAACTAAACCCAGATGATGAACGGACGCATGAGAAGAAGAATGAAAGAAAGGATGGGGAATCAAGCGAAATGCCAAAAGGGGTTTCTTGTTTCCACTGGAAGAACAAGATGCTAAATTTATGCTCAAAACAAGGTGAGGAAAAAGCACAAAAAGCAGAGTAAGAATTCTGACCTCTTTATCTGCCTAGTGTTTAATAGAAAAGCTAAGGAAGTATATAGGCAGAGAGATCGAAGAAGGAGAACAGCAAAACACAAGAAGCAGCAACAACTTAGCACAGTTATCGAGGCACAAAGTCAATAGGAAATTATTATTAGTAATTACTAATAAGTAATGACTCCATTTATATGAGCAGAGCAGAAGGGGCAATATGGAGGGGTTATGTGATATTGAAAGCGAAAGCTAGGCTGCTTGCCTTTTATATGTATGTAAATACGGCTCTGCTTTGCATTGTGATTCTCTCATGCAACAAAATTGAGAAACTAGTTGAGGGCTAGAGTCAGGATTTTGAAGGCTATGAATTGAGAATTGAGAACGGAGAAAGCGTTTGGTAGTTGAAAGGAATTATGGCTGCAGAGGAAAGGTTGAAGTTGAAAGGGATTATTAGTTGGGAAGATATGAAGTTCAGCAGAAAGGCGAGAAAATTGAGAAGAGAGAGAACCATTGTCTTTATTCATGCAAAAGTAAAGATGCATGGAATTGCATGGAGGACAAATATATAAATTAGTAAATCACCGTTTTCACTGCTCTTTCTGATTATTTGTGTGGTATTATGGCAAGTCATTCAACTTTGTTTTCATTATTTTTTAATTAGTATATGATAATCTTAAGTTCAGCTAATATTAACAAAATAATGATCATATATAAGAGGCCAATGGAGGGGAGTAGAATTATTTGTGATATTATTGTAAGGAGCTAGAACATAGTAGTGTACTATTGGGGCGATAGGGTTTAGAAGAGCAGCTCTGTGAAGAGCAGAAGGAAAATGAAAGGTCAGAAAGAGCACAGTAGCATTGAAAAAGGAAAGCTAACTATAAAACTACATTGCTTCCTTGCTCTTTAGATTTGATTCAAAACCCTTCAAGTTTTTTGTACTTTGAACGACTTGTGGGGCCTCTTCTTTTTTTTTTTTTTTTAATCTTCTTTTGACGTCAATTTATTTATTTTCTTTACCTAAATCACCAAATTGGGATCCTGTCTCATATTGTTTTCTTAATGCTAGTCCACAATAAGAAATTGTATATAAAAGAATTTAAAATGTACTAAAAATCAAAATAAATGGAATTAGGTTTAATAATCACATATGATCAAATGTCTATTCCTAATAGTGTTAGTGAGTACCACATCATTTTTTAATATAAGAGTTGCAAAACTAAATTTTTTTAAAAAATAGTTAAATTAGTTATTTGTAATGAATGTATGTTAATTTTTCTAAATTGTCATATTTAATAATATATGTTGAAATTATTTATTAGTGAAAACCTCTTATAAACAATATAGACATTTTGGAGAAAACATTATAAATTTAGAAAATAAAATGGATTAAGATCTTATAATTGAAACTAAATCTAACCTCCCAATTAATTCTTATATTTAGGAGCGGAGTATATAATTTGGATAGTCATTTTGAAAGTATCCATTGAGTCATTGTTTTAGGATTATTGTAAAATTGCATTGGTCTCGTATCATACTTGGAGCTTGTTTGGTATGAGGGGAGGGGAGGGATTTTGCTCCCCTTCTTTTGTTTGGGTTGCAAAAATTTTTAAAAAGTGAGCAAATTTTTTTTAAAGATTTTCTCTCTTCTCCCCTCACAATCGTCCCCTCCCAAATTAGAGAGATTTGAAGGAAAAAGGTAATATTTTAACTTGTTTTGACTAATATGCTTATAATTAGTTCCTAATATCCCCACATTACCCTTTTGATCTTGCATCATGTGTGTAAAGGATGATAACTATTATACTCTTATCAAATTATATATCAGATCATAAAATATCATGATGTTGAAACCTAGACTAGACTGGCTGGTTAAGCCCAAAAACTAACGAACCAGTTTGGTAACCAGTCCGGTTGAGTATAGAAACTAGGGTTGAATTGATCTAACGTGACCCATCCCAGTGACCCAATCAATTTGGCGGGTTAACTTGATCGTTTTTTTTTTTTAAAAATATTTTGATTTTTTTTAAAAAGCTATTGATAGTTGGGACTTAATGATCGAATGATTATAAGGAGGAATATTTTGTTATCATATATCTATTTTGATATTTTGACGAAATGAATATTTAGTGATTTTAGTAGTATGATATTATGATTTTAATTTGTCAAAGAAACTGCAAAAAAGTTGAATCCAAATTGTAAGTCTATGATTATTTTATTAGTGATTCAAGATACTAAATTATTTCCCACTGTTTAGATCCCATGTTGACTTCGATCTGACCCACTGAGCCTTAATCTACTAATTTGATCGATTCAATGACTAATCCAGTTTTTGATACCTTGTAAAAAATTCTTCTCTTCTCATTAATCCAAATAAAATAATATTAAAATATCTTTCCTTCCTTCTCTTTCCTTCCCCTTCATTAAAATTCCTCTCCTATCCTCTTCTCTTTTGAGCCAAATACACCCTTAGTGACCAACGTTTTATTGGCATCACATTAGGAGATGTCAAACTGAATTTTCTTGGGTAAAAAATCACTTTAATCAATCAACATGTGATGTTTTAGATAGTTTTTCGAAAATCAGCTTCTGGATTCAAAACCAAGTTGAAGATGAAGTAATTTTTTTTTTTTTGGCTTTCGGTTTTTGGCTTTTCTGTTTAACTAGAACCTTTTCCCCTGTGCGATGCACAGGATGACACATATTAAAATGGTTGATACTACTGAAAAATATTTTATTATATTCTTCCTCTTCTATTGTAAAAAAAAAAATTCATCTTTTTTTCTTAATTTTTGGAAATATGATTTTTCTTATATATGATTTGGACAATAAAATATAAGATTTAAGTATCTAATGTTGACAGGTTTACTAAATACTAATTTCATATTAAATTTTTCAGTAAAACTACCTATAATGTTATTCTCCCTGATAAAACATTAATGTTTAGTTCCAAAGAACTGTGAAAGGTGCAGCCACAATTATTGTGTCATTAAAATAATTAAATTCACAAAGGTAGAAAACAAAAAGGTTGAGTATCAGTTTCAAGATAATGTATATTGCATAAATCAGATGTTAAGAAATTCTATGAATAATTTGTTTGTGAAACTCCATTTGCATCTTTCCCAATAGCGTTTATAGTGCCCCTCCACTATCAGTTTCATAGTATCAAGTATCAATTGGATAGTCATTTAATTGCCTAACCCGACCCATTTTGACATTATCGGGTATTACAAGATTTCATAGTTAAAGTAGATTTAAACTTTTTTGACAAGTTTCTACCAAACTGATTTTTTTATAAAAATCTATTCAAACATAAATTATATTATACTAATTAATTTTTATTCTAATTTCAATTTATAAAAATTAGTAAAATAAAAATTATTTTTACCAACGTTAATCCAAACAAGTTTCAATGGCTTGATGCTCAAAAAGCAATACTGTTGAGGGCAATTACATATCCCGAAATGATGCTGTTTTGAAATTTCAAACCTCTTGACGAATAATTGGGACATGACGGAAGATGAAGCATTAGTGGAAGTTGGAAAATAAAGACGGAGTTAGTTCATAACATCGACTCCCAAGTAATTATTTTTTATTAAAAAAAAAAAAAAAAAAAACAAGGTAGGTGAATGAAATGAAACAATAGTGAAGAGCTAAATTAAAACAAAGGAGGGTACACGAGGACCACCCACAGAGTGAAGGGTAGAGGCGTAGGATGGGGAAGCACTCAGAATAATAAAGGAGTGATCTTAAGAGGCTTAAGGACACATAGCCTTAGGCCCATAGCCCACGCCCTACCCACTTCTATTTTGGACCTAATCCTTTGCTTTCACTTTTTTTTTTTTTAAAATCTCAATTCAATTTCAATACAAACCAAGTTTAAAAAGCACCTTATCTTTTTCTAGAATTTAAAATTTACTACATCCGGTCCTAAATATAAAAGTTCATTTGATTTCTATTTTGGTCTTAAATATAAAATCTCAATTTATTTTATCTTTAATATTTATCTATTTTCTTCTAAAATAGTTCTTATAATAATGGTGGTCATAGCCAATATATTTGATTAGTAAGAATATTTTAAGAAAGATAACACATATTTATTACAAATAACTAATTTAACTAATTTTCTTAATCTATTTAAATTAGTCAACTAGCTCTTATATTAAGAATAGGAGGTAGTATAAATTAACTTACTTCTATATCAATAAAAATAAAAACAATATATATGAGAAATAAATACTAATTGATATGCTAAATGTAAAAGTTAGTTAGATTTAATTTCATCCTAAATATATAACATAATTCACTTTATCTTTTATATTTAATCATTTTGTCCAAAGTAGTCTGCATATTGATTATACGTGTTAAAAGAATTTTTAACCCAATGCACATGATTACTAAAAATATTTTAAGAAAAACAACATCAATTTATCTAAAATAATTAATTTAACTAACTTTTTTAATATTTATAAATTAATTATCTAACTCTTATATTAAAGAGTAAAGATAGTATTTCAATATATCCAATATCCACGACCTCATATGGTACATCCACCATTGTCGATATCACTATGGATATGTATACCAAAGTCCATCAACGGATGTAGAATGACAATATTTTTTAAGGAAAAAAAAAACCGCACTTAGCTATTAATATGAAAAATAGGTTAAAATTATTAAATAAATTTGATACTTGTGGCCTCCACCTTTCCTTTAATTTTTTTTTGTTGATTTGGCAAGTTATGCTTACTGGATATATACATGGAGTACACAGTAAAGGAGAATGAGGTCAATAGTGAACAAAGTAGATATGAGATTCACATTTAAAAATGAGTGTTGGATATGAGCATGAAACAGTTAAAAGTGTCAGGCTCCAAAACAAAACAGTTGAAAGGGTTGGATGTGGGGACCCACAGTTTTTGTTAGGGGGAAAAAAAAAAAAGTTTGTTATTTATACTTTGATCGTTATATTTAAGGAAAAACGACAGAAAATAAACTTAAAACTTACTAAATTTTAAATTAGTTTGTTTTCTATATCTCAACAAATTTTAACTAGACTTGACTTAAAAATGACAAAACATTCTTATAAGAATTTCTCATTTGAGATTATACAATTTTTAAGGTTTTTTTTTTTTTTTTGTGATTCTCCGATTCTCCCTATTTTTATTTATTTACTTATTTATTATTTATTCAATTTTATTTTTACATCTTCTAAACACTATTATTTGCTGTAAAATTATCACATCAATATTTAATTGGAGGAGAGAGAAGAGAGAGATTTAAAAAGTAAAAAAGTGATGTTTTTCGGTCAATTTAGAACTGAAGAGGAATGTCTCCATTTAGTTTCTTCTCCACTTTTTCTCAGGCATGAAAATTTTTCAGAAAAAATAAATGCGGGGGTTAATTAAAAATTTTCAACCTCATTCATTCATTTTTTAAATCAAACTTACAAAAATGTCTCTTCCTCTCCCTTTTCTATGATTCCAAATTCCATTAATTGTCAAATTTAGGGGATGTTTGGGAAAATCCAAGAATACTTTTAAAAAGTATTTTTTCATAAATCGAAATAAATTCTTTCATATATTTACTTCATATATCGTAAAATTATTTTCAAAATCATAGTTTAGTTTTTATCCAAACTCTCCTTTTAATTTTTTGTTTTGTGCTTCTCGCCATTAGCTTTCAGGTTTTTTGTTTTTTCAATTTCCATACATACCCAATGCTTTTAGGCTTGAAGTCAATACTTCAAAACCTTTATTCATCATATCTTTTTATCACCTACTTTCAAAACTAAAAAAAATTAAATTCTCTTAGGAAATAAGCATCTTATGTTTTCAAAAATAGATATTTCTTAATATCATTTACTATTTGCTTCTAAACATTTACAAGATTTTAGAATTACTCTCTTTTTTTTGGAAAAAGTTAGTTGCGAGATTTCTTTGTTTTTTTTTTGGAGAATTACTTTATTTCAGTGAAAAAAATTATTAATAATTATATTTTGCTTAGTATTACTTTCAAAAGAATATTTATGTTAGTTCGGATATTTCTTGAATTGCAATTATAATTTTAACGTCTTTTATAGATGGGTGTTATCCAATCCTATATTAAAAAAAAAATTTAAAGTGTTAACGGATCAAACATATGTCATAGCTTCGAATTAATGCCATATGGTGCAAAGTGCAGCTAAGTACGTAACACAAACCCCCCCCCCCCCCCCCCCCCCCCAAAAAAAAATTCTGTCCATTGTATTCTGGGGGACAACAAATGGCAACTCGGAAATAACAGAAAAAAGAACCCAGAAACTGAACACTATCTAATCTGCCAGCAAGACAATAATCTTGACAAATCTGGAGGTAAACCCCATGGCAAATATAAAAATATTACATGCCTAAACTCCTTATTTTCAAAGGAACAAAGATGTTATTTCTACTGTTGGATGGAAGGGGTAGAAAAAAGCTCCTTCCATCATGTTGTAAAAAACTTCAATATCTTCTTACCAATTGATACCTCACCCGGATTGTGATCCTCCTGTTCTGCTTCATCTTCTTCTTCACCCTCTTCTTCATCTTCTTCATCGTCATATTCAATTTCAGCTTCTTGGATTGTGCTTCCATACTCATCTTCATAATCCTGGGTACCATTCACCTCTTCACTCAGCTCAACTTCCCCGGGTTTGGGTTCGTCGCCATTGTCGTCAACTATGTCTCTAGGTTCTTCAAACTGAACAGGGAGACAAATGCATGAATAAAATAGGACATAGATATGATATAAATGCCACCAAATCAATCATCAAAACAGGCTGGTATGTTTTACCCTTACAACTCTTTCATCTGTGCACTCTACATGGTTTACGGTCAAAACCTCCACTTTGTGTTTGCTTTGAGCATTGCCATCAGCAACAACTGATGAAGGACCAGGGACAACTTCTGGGCTTTGTCCATCCCTCAATTCACCACCAGTAGCTTCTTGCTCAACGGTCTTTTTTTCCTTGGATGCCCGAGCTGATGGAACTGTGGCCGCACTGCTAACACTGCGAAATGTTTATTAGAGAATCAACGAAATGTCTTTATCATGACTACACTCAGCAGTCAATAGACACTATGTGCAGTGCTTGGTAAGAACTAATGACTACACGATGACAATAAATCCAAAGAACATCAGAATATTTATCAAAAACAAATAATTACCTTTCTGAACCAACAAATGATTATTTAAATGTTAGCTAACGAAGATTGCTGAGGCTCAAATTAAAGATAATTTTAAAAGACAAGGCGTTCTAGTTAGTCAGAAATAACAAGGCCAATGACCATAAGAAAAATAAATATACTTCAACCACTTGCTTCAGATCAGAAATTACCATTTTGAGAGCAATTACGTCAGTACTTATATCTCAAAATTAGCATGTGTCAGTGAATAAACAAACAGCATCAATCCAAAATCGAATTCATCCCCAAAATTTTTCACTTCATAACAACTGTTTCGTTAAGGGAAAATGTTTTCCTACAACAGTTAAATTGTACAAATAGTATTGACTAATGTCACTGAATAATTGGCATGTCAAATGATAAAGAACATGGCTAAGATCTATTCTGCCATGATGACAGCACCAAAATGGCAAATACAAGCCAGCCAGTGCAAGTAGACTATTTTTTCCTTTATATTTTCCATTTTTCCCAAAAAACGGAAGTGGCGTCAATGGAGAATGATAAGAACCGTGTGCTGGTCAACAGGTACCGATTTTATTTCAACGGAACACCCCTATCAAATTAGGACGAACAAGAGTTCATTTTTCTTAAAAGAACTAAAATTATATTTCAGAACTTCAACAGTAAGCTCTAAAACTGTGGGCAAGCAAAAATATAGACCTGAAAGAGACCAGTCCCACAAATCCACAAGACTCCCCAACAACACAACCCAGCTCTAACACATTGGAACCAAAACCAATGATCTATTTCACATCCAACAGACTATCACCGAAAAGCAAACAACCAGCCTATAATTTAATTGATCTGTTTTTGTCCTGGATAAAGCTGCCAAAACTAAAATTAAGTAGCTAGCTTACGTTTTGTGGCGCCTGAGATTATATCTCCTCTCTCCAGTAATTTCTTCAGGGGGAGGAACTGTTTGCCTTTTCTTCCTGCGCCCACCAGCTGTAATACTATCAGAATGTCCTTCAGAATAAGCATCCTGCTCACTCTGTGTGGCCCTAGAAGTTTGCACATGCTGCCGCTTCCTTTTAGTTTTACCGAGAGCTTTCTCAGTCTGAGCGGACTCTTCTAGACTGTCACCTTTAGCATGATCAGGTTTAAGAGATTGCGTATTTGCATTATCTAGTTCCTCTGAAGCCTTTCCTAGGAACTCCTTTGCTTCTTCAACTACTGCCTTCACAGAGAGTGTTCTGTTGACTCCGGCTTTGGGTCTCCTACCAGGTCTGCCTCTCCGTCTCTTTGGAACTGACTGCTGAGAATCCTCAGGACCTCCTTCTACCAGACTGTCTGCGTAACTATAATGATCTAAAGATGGATCACATCCCTCATCCACATCTCTAATAAAGTTAGCAGATTGGAGCTGCTGAACATCTGAAGAGTGATGAGCAATTCCATCTATTGGATGCAGTTCTCCAAGAATATCTCTAGTGCCTTCTACTTTCAAAAAAGATGCAGAACCCTCTGCTCTTTCTGTATTAACTTTCAGATCTGACAATGGAGATGAATCATCCATGCCAGAAGATTTAATGACATCCCTTTTACTACTTGGAGACAAATTCAAAATCTTTGAAGCGCATTGGCGGAGCCAAGACACAGACCTAGATCCAGAATTTTTCATGTCAGAAGCAGCATTATTATACCCCAAATTCTTCTGAGGATTACTATCTAGCACTGATGAAATGGGTGAATGGATAACCACCCTCTCCGTAAACTCAGGTAGCTGAAGGTCAGATACAACCAGATCCCTAACAATTTCTCCACAGCCCTTGCAGCCCCTCAGCTTCTCAACAAGAGCAAGAAAGCGACTCCTTTCAGCCATAAGGTGCTCACGCTCCTTCTTAACCTTCCTGCTCAAGTTCATAAGCATTTCAGAATCTTCATGCATTTCAAAATGGGCTGACTCCAGCTCCTGTTTATTTAATTCAATCTCCTTTCTTATATTCTCTAATCTTTGTCGTTCAAACCGCACTTCTTCACATTCTTTCTCTGTCACATCCTTCAAGAAATCAATATTTTCACGCTCTTTTTCCATTTCCTCCTGAAAAGAACTCTCTCTCTTCTGCAAATCTTGCTCCATTTCCTCTTGCTTCTTCTGTATTTCATTCTCAAGATTCCTTCTCCGGGATTCAAAATCTTGAAGCATCCGTGCATGATCATTTTTAGTCTTTTCAGACAAAACTAGCTTATCATGTCTCATAGTATCTGCAAATGATTCCTTCTCCAGTTCAAGCTTCTCCAACTCTCTCTTTATATGATCTTGCATTGCCTGTTTCTCTCTTTCCAACCTTTCTTCCTCAGTATGTTGCAGTTTCCTAAATTTTTCTTTCTCTGCATCAATTATGCTCTGCTCTCTACTAATTTCAGCCCTTTTTCCATCTAGTACTTCCCATTCTTTCTCAAACCTCTCTCTCTCTTGCTTTAAGCTTTCAGTTTCCTTCAAAATATATTCTCTCTGCAATCTGGTATTCTGAATCTCCTGTTTCAGTTCCGACTGCAACCAGGAATGCTCTTCCCTCTCACCCTGAGTTATTTTTAAATCCTCTCTCTCCTTGATCATTTGCAGCTCCTGCTTAGAAATTTCAGCTCTTATCTTTTCAACCTCAACTTTCAGCTTCTCTGTAGTCTCAACATCAGCAAGCAGCTGTTTCTTTTCCATCTCCAATTCTTTCCCTTTAATTTTCATACTTTTTTCTTTCTCCTTTAGTGATTTCCACTTTGCCTCAAATTCCTTTTCCTGCTCCTTTATCCTCTCAGCCTTCGTACCCAATGCTAACTCTTCCTTCCCAAGCTTCTTTTCCCTATGGTTGACTTCAGCCTCCCTCTGCTCCAAGGATTCTACCTTATCTTTGAACTCCTCATCAAGGGACTTCCTCTTTTGTTCCATTTCCAGTTCAAATTCCCGTAACTTCAAATCCAACACATCCTTTTGCTCACCAAGGAGCTTCTGGATTCCCTCCTATAAGAAACATAACTACATGAGTCAGCAAGCAGCAAAATTGCATAATATACAGACGTAATTCAACTTACAAACAACTGCACATTCAAAGAGGTTTTTTTTTTTTTTTGGGCTACCAATGATGCACCAGAGTTATGTGAGAATGTGAGCTTTGCTTTCTTCTTCATTTGCAATACGAGCCATATACAATCTTCAGGTAAAAAGAGAGATATGGGGGATAGACATGGGTCCACCCATCTCTTCTATAACACATACAGCTGTACATAAATCTAAGGCTATTCTACCACTAATGCCACACGCATGCATATATACATCAGCACACAAAAATACACAAAAAGGATACAAACACGCCCACATTAGTAGGCTTTGCTCTAACACAGGAAACATTATACTCCACAGGACTCAATAAATCACTATACAATAATTTTCTACATTTCAATTAGTCCACATGGCCTCCATTTAGCAAAGGAAATGATTTTTTTGGGTTGAAAAAATATAACTCCCAAAGCAAACTACAAAAGACCGTTAAAATTTTCACCTTCATGGCAATCTGCTAAGCAAGACTGGAAAATGATAAATGAATTTAACCAATAGATTAACTGGGCAACTAGCTTAATATCACTGCTCCAACTTCTAACTGTAGGCTAGCGTGTCAGTTTATGCCATAGTAACATGATGGCAACATGAAAAGAATCCATGGTCTTCGAAGCATGTCTTCTTGTTCTCTTCAAAAAATTTTACCGTATGACTTGATATGCATGCATCAAAAAGTCTTGTTCAGACCGTCTATTACCCAGTGTAAACCACCTACTGCAAGACCACTCTTACAGCCAAGCAAGACCAAGAGCAGATGCATTACATTTAACACCTCTAAAATTAAAAACAACACAATATCTTGACATGTGCATGATTCTAAGTGATAACCTAAGTATCTATATCACTTTCCACTTCATTCCTAATCAAAATGGCCCCAGTAAAACAAATAACCAGATCACACCGTTTATCCATGCAGTAACTTTGCATGACCTTCTATTATACATAGACGATATGAGTAGTAGATGCCTAAACTCACTCGTTCTCTAGCACTTAGCTGATGTTCAATTGCAAGTAATTTCTTTTCCTTCGCCTCCAGCATGCTCTTTAAAGAATCAGCTTCCTGAAAACCACATAAGCAGAGATTAAATTATGGTAAGAACAACAAACAAGAAAATAGGTAGTTAAATATTAAAAAGAATGAGAAGTCAGGAAGGATGAAACAAACTTTTTCTTTTGTTTCTAAATCTTGAACTGCTTTACTGATCTCAGTTTCCTTCTCTTTCAATGAGAAGTTAGAGGAATCAATCTTCCTTTCCAGCAATTCTAGTTCTCTCTTTTTCTGCTTCAATTTCTTATCGATTTCATTTTCCTTCTCCTCTCTCTCACTGAGGTGTTGCCTGCCCTTGCACAGCATCTCTTCTCGTTGCTTTAAATTCCTCTCCCACTCCTTTAAATCTTCCCTTTGCTTGTAGAAGGTTGCCTCAAATGATTCTCGACTATGATGAATGGTAAAATCTTAGTAAGTGAATTGTTTCAAATACATCAAGAAATAAAATAAAATAAAGGCTTGTTGTTGTTGTACTTCAAGAAATAAAATACAATATGGTGTCTAGAAATAGTAGAAATGTAAACCATAGGACATACTCAGTAACTACTGACAAATGCTCCTTTGAAAGTAAATTTTCACGAGTCTCAACTTCTCGCAATTTCATCTCCAGCTCAGCACTTTTTCTGTTTACCTCAGCTAGCTTAGCTTCTGCATCATGTAACTTCCGGTCAACAACTGAAGACTTCCCTTCAATTCCATCAACCAATGCACTTGCTTCAGCCAACTTTGCCTTAGATGAACACTGGACTTGGTCATGCTCTTCTCGCATTGCACGTAAAGCTCTTTCAAGCTGCAATTAATCCATCACCACAGGATCATCATAATAATTAACAAGACCAAACTTCCATAGATTCTTCTGTTTTTTTCCCCTACAACTTTGATAGATTCTATTTAGAAATGGATAACCGTAGCAGCTCACAAAAAGCAACATGTATCGATATCCCATGACTCTCATTAAACTGGATAAGAAGCAAACTAGTAAAACATGAGAAAACATGAATTTCAGTAAGAAATGAGCAACCTTAAGCTAGAGGTGGGAAAGTTCACATTCCTGTTCCTAAAATTCAACCAATAAGATGTAAAAGCACAGTCAATGTTAAGATTGGGCAAGCTTGGATAGAGGAAGAACACACCAGCTCTGATTCCACAAATCAATAACCGCTTAAATTTTTCAAAAGAAACTAGAAGGTTATGGCAATTCTACTCTATATCCTCCTACATGCTACTAACATAAAAAACAACCCTAATGTAGACTGACATAATACATGTGTGTTGCACAAGATGCATGTGTATAAAAACCAAATGAACCACAAATGCCTTGCCTACAAGCTCGTGGTAGCCAACATAATTTAAAGAAGCTTCAAAACGAATTGCAAAATTCTTTTGGGCAAATGAATGTTGTTCCCAACCATCCAACCTTATTTATTGAGTGCTGGTATTGGCATGTAAAACAAATGTTTACCACCCACCATGATCCCAGAAAGATAATCATAGATGAATATTTTGCAGGGGGCAAAACTGGCAAAAATACAAAGTATGACATCCCTTTGATTGTTGAACACAGTAGGAAAAAACAGGATGGTAATCTACCATTGAAAGTTTAATTGCTGAGGTCTTTCAATCATAAAAAGTAAAACTTCCACACATCCAACCAGGAACGAAACACCCATCTCACACATTCCTGATAACCTCCTTTACAGTAAATAACTATGCAATGTACACCACATCTTAAAGCTAATTTACGGATTGCATGAGACAACATGCAGAAATACCAGAACTGACTTAAGTTAGACAAAAGACAATATTACGGACAACAGAAGATAAATATATGCAAGCACATACAAATTTAAGAGAGTGAAACATAATTGAAGATAGTTACAGACATCAGTCACACACTGCTTCTCTGTGTTCAAAGCCTTCCTTAAATTTTCCTCTCGCTTTCCAGCTTCAGATAATGCAATTAAGTGTGATGACTGCTCCCGTTTAAAAATCTCCTGAGTTTCAACTAATTCCTGCCTCAGTTCATCAAATTTTGAACTCCATTCTTTCTTCTCTATCAGCAGGAGGCCCATGCTGTACTGGTAATCATAAAGCTGCATTTTTTTTTTTGGGGGGGGGGGTGTCATCAAATTCATCAGTAATCGAACAAACATAGCAAATGGCTTCTGCAAGAACTTGTTTTATTTATATACTGTTTTCTTGGAAAACCAAAAAAGAAAGAACCCATGTTGCAGAGGTAATGCTACAAATGCAGGTGTGGCTAAGAGTACAGAACACAACAATTTTTCCAACACATAGGATATAGGTATGGCATTACATATTAAATCTATCAAATCTTATCGTATATGATAATTCTTACAACATTTTAAAAAGAGGTGATGAAACTTCTTTGATATAATTCTTAATCTGATCTTTAACTTCATTTACCTTTGATAAATTCAGCTGCAATATTATATAATATTGAAGAAATTAGCCTTTATTGTGATCGTTGAGATAAAATATTTCATGTCCAATCTTTGAGGTTGGGTTAAAAGTTCATGGCTTTGTGAGCATACTTACAATTCCAAGATGTATTGAAATCAAAATTCAAAGAAAATGACTACACATTACTTATTTTGGAGAACCCAAAGAGGTATCAAAGGCTATAAGTACTGCTAGAATTTAAAACTCCTTGTGCTTCATGGGAAAGAACGTGTGTTCAAATTAACAGGATGGGGCAAACAAGACATCGGGAAAACAAGCAACCAGGAAATCATTTTAGAACAAATAAGGAACTAAGGATATTGCTTAATTGGTCACTAACACATACATTATTTTGCTCCTTTTAGTTCCATTCAGTCTCTTTGCATGTGGTCATGACAACATGTGGATACCAAGTGATTTTCATGAGTTTAAATATCCAAGTATTAATGAAATTAAATATTACTAGAGGTGAAATCGGAAGCCAACAAAAACTTAACATCCATAGTCAAAGACTCCAGAACTAACTGTAGTTACCTTATTCTAAAAGCATACTGCTGAGGGCGATAGATAAACTCTGACTCTCTATGCATCAAGTTATCAAAGATAGCCACCATGATATTGGATTTCTCGATTCTTCAGTAATGAAACTTTCTAAACAATCATTCTAAAAGAATGCTTTAATAAACCCTCAAAATTTTCCAATACAATTAAGTAAAACATGGGCGACACCGCTTGTATTCATTCCGGAGAGTGACATAAAGAAAGCTTACGTATGATTTCATTATTATTGAAGGTTATAAGCCAGTGACTACTAACAGTAAGCATCAAGGCATGCACTAAAACACCTACATATATTCAAAAATCTCAAACTTGCCTCTTTTTCAAGTCTCGAAACCTTCTCCATGAGTGCTTCATGGTCCTTCTTCCGCATCACCGCTTCGTCCAACAGTCCCGCCTCCTTAAATTTCTTCCAATCCTCAATATTCCCCATGGAGTCAAACCCCACCACCATCTTCTCCTGGTTCTCACTCAGAGAACCCAATGGCGGCGGTGGGTCATCGGCAAAAGCAACTGCCTTCCCTTTTCCGGAATTAATGAGGTTCGAACTCGCCCCGACCCCACTTCTCTGGGGTGTAAAAGACGCTGTAGCAGACCATCCCTTTCTCTGCGGCGTAAACATAAGAATGTCGGAGTCAAATACCGCCTGTGAAGAGGTCCCAGAAGCCCTAGAAATTCCGTCGCGGGGCTACCGGAGGCGAAAACTGGGCCGAACAGTCAGTGGGTAAGGAGAATAAAATTCCGATCTTGTTCGGTTTCCTTTTCGAAATTATTTTTCCTATAACGCTTTTGATTCAGTAACAACTAGAAAGTACAGGGATTCGCTGTATTTCGCTCAGAGGGCTACAAGCCGCTTTTGTTCGGAATATTCTTTGAGAGCACAGAACTCGTCTTGAACTTGAACTTCCAAGTTGAAAGAAAACGAGAGGACATGGACATTTTTAATTTTTCCAACTTGGAATTGGGATATATAAAATCATCCGAATTATCCACCATTAATTTTTCTCAAACTAACCCTATTAATATTTTTTCAATAATAACCAAGTAAAAGAAAGAAAAAAAATTAAAAAGATATTTAGAGTGTTTTAAAAAAGATATATTATATGACTAACTTACCTAATATCTTTAATCTATTCAAATTAGTTATATTATATGCTTATTGTAAAGTAAATGATACTAAGCATCTTCCTTGAGTATTATGAGTGCCTAAATTTCTTCCCTTGTTAAAAGATGATAAAATTTTTTGAGTAAATGTTTTAGAGTAACTCATAATTTTATATGACATGCGTAAATATTGTAGTAAGAAATTGGGTGTTTATAAGATTCTTGTTAGTTATTTAAAAAAATTTCTTTGAAATACATATTGCTAAGATCAATTAATGAAATTTTTATATCAATATATTATTAATATTAATATTAATTTAAAATATGATAAACACAAGTAATCTATTATTTTAATGGGAAGATAAATACTAATAATCTTTCAAGAGACGAAAAGCACCACAAAACTCAACTAGGAAAAGTGGTATGTATGCAAAAACCTCTCCCCAAACAAACAGACAAGAATACTTCCATAGACCATAATTCAAATGACAACTAGTATATAAGTGGCTTCTAGAAAGATGGTTTAGTCTAAAATACAAGACACTTGATAATTAATATTTATTTGTTAATTTTATTTATACGATTAATGTTTGAATGCAACTCCTTATATTTTTCTCACTTTTTTGTAACCTTATTTAATATGGATAAAGTTAAAAAAAAATTTTAATTTAAGACAAGTTTAATAAGTTAACAACATTTCTTTTTTTTACTTCTAACGAATTAGTTAAAATAACTTATATTATGTTATGAATCGAAAGGAGTATTTAAAATATCTAGTCGGTCTGTACCTTCAAAAGATCCTTCAGCCAAATATTATTTGCCACCGTTATGGTTGAGTGGATGAATAAAATAAAAAAAGGAAAAACAATTTTGAGGTTTGCCAAAGCAAAGCACGAGGCGCCGAGATCTTAGTCAAAGATTGCGACTTAATAGAGGATTAGCACAAAACTAAGCAAGAATCGGAAGTTGCACTAATTTTATTCTTTACAAATTCTGTCATTGCAAGCTATCCAGAGCAGATTCCTCCAAACCTGAGGCTCAAAACGGATGCGGAGTAGACCAAAACATATACAAGACATAGACAACTATATTTAGCAAAGATATAAAGAGGCATCTAAGTAAAGGCAAAAACAAAACATCAACCAACTAGAAATAGAAAGACAGCACAGCTGATAATTATACTATTTCCGGTCTTACTTATAAGATTTTATTTGTAACTTGAAATATAAAGACAGCGCGGGTGATAACTATACTCTTTTAGTCTTAATTATAAGACTTTATTTATAACATGAAATATAAAGACAGCGTGGGTGATAATTATACTACTTCTAATCCTAATTATAAGATTTCGTTTGTAGACTATGAAAGGGATCTTATAATTAAAACCAGAGATAGTATTTTAGTAAGGGTAGTTTAGTTTGACTTTGAAAACATTGCATATGATATAAATTTTTAATTGGTCAATATTATTTTTGCCAGCAATTGATCAATATTATTTATATATAAAGAAATCATCTTATTTAAATCTTAAAGTTTAGTAATTATATGGTGAATTAACATAATTTTAATTGCAATTAGTTTAAAAAGAAGGCAACCAAAATGCATAACGGCCATGTTTATGCAATTAATTCATCATATAATAAGTTCACTAATATTTCGTCAAGCTGAGTGAGTAACTGATCATCTCCTTAACAAATTGAAAAACTAATTAAATTGGAATATTATACTAAGAATCTTATAATTTTTTAAATAAAAAATATAAGAAAAAACTTAAATCAAGTTTTTTATGTTTATTATATCAAGTTCTCCAATGATGCATGCTCATGTGTCTTTTTTTCCTTCATATAGGTTTATAATTAAATACTAATATTTTAAAAATAGGACGCATGATCATATATGATTGAAAAAACTTAACATAATAGATACTACCTCCGATCCTTAATATAAGACCCTATTTGACTTTTATTTTGATCTTAAATATAAGGCCTCAATCCACTTTGTCTCTCCAATTAGCCTTTCTAACAATGATAGTTCTAGTCAATACACTTGATTAGCAAGGATATTTTAGGAAAGATAACACCTATTTAGGACAAATAACTAACTCAACTTACTTCCTTAATCTCCTCAAATTAGTCAACTGGCTCTTATAATTAGGACCAGAGGTAGTACTAAAAACTTGATATAAGTGTTGTCTGACATATAATATGTTTTGTTTTAAAACATAGAAGCATATGAATTTTATTTCAATTATTAAACTTTTGAAGACTGTAGATGTGGGCCATGTAATGCAGGGAGCCTAAATTTTATGAAAGAATTACAATCAAGTCTCACAGAAAAGAAATAATTACTAAAAATTTCTAATAACAACTTGAGCAACCTGTAATAACAAGTCTTGCAGTAAAGAATGACAACCCCTAGGACTTATTTTATAATTTTTTCCTTTTGTGGGATTTGATTGTAATTCTCCCTAATCCTAAAGTGAAGTCTTCAGATGGAAAAATTATCTATATTATGCTTACATCATGATCTAAGGTGCTCACACCCCTAATTATGGCTAGTATATGGTCATAAGGTAGGGTGTGACAAAATGAATCAAGCATAATTTAATTATCCAATTACAATATATTTGTAGAGCATAAAATGTAAGCAATAAAAAGAAACTAACTTGAAGATACCAAAAAATCCAACATTATTTCATATATTAATGTCACATACATATCATGACTATTTAAGATGTTGCTTGCTTCATATACAAAATAAGCCATAGGATAAAGAAATAAGAACAAAAACTTGCATACAAGGTTTATTCAACTAGTGGTGCATATATAACATTTTGCATAAACATGACCTTGTTTTTTCCAATGACACCAAAACATCAGTTATCATAATTCTTGCTTCAGGTGGTTCAATGCAACAACTTAATGCCAACTCAAAAATTGATGATATAAGTGGTAATATACTGCTAATATCTGGACTCCCTCTGTGCAGTAAATTGGCATCTAGAATATTGATGATTGAATGTGGTGTTGATTTGCTAACCCAATCTTTTAAACATAGACCTTCAACAAACATTTCATCGGTTGGCTTCTTCCTCGTAAACATTTCCATTAGCAAGATACCATAGCTATACACATCTCCTTTGAAGGAAACCACTCCTTTTGATCCGTATTCTAAATGTCAAAAGAGAATATAAGGTTTGTAGTTAAATATTTTTATATCACTAACACAAATCTTAACATGTAAGAATGGAAAATATAGGTTAGTAATTTAATAACATAAAATTTACATAATGTAATGAGAAACATAGAAATAATTCAACTAAAATATTGTTATAAAACTATTACCTGGTGCCATGTAGCCAACTGTAGCCAATGTTTTTGTATAAGTTTCCAACTTTTCTTCATCTAATAGTTTAGTTATACCAAAATCACTAAGATGAGCCACCATATCTTCATCTAACAAGATATTGCTTGGTTTTATGTCACAATGAACAACCGGAATCGAAGAACCATGATGAAGATATTCCAATGCAGTAGCCACATCAACCATTATATTCAACCTTTGTAGGATATCCAAACAATAATTATGAGAGTACAACCATTTATCAAGACTTCCATTTGACATGAATTCCATTATTAGACATGCAAAATCATCATTTGAGCAACTACTAATAACCTTAATGAGATTACGATGACGTAAGTTGCATAAGGCGGTGCACTCATTATCAAAACTCCTTAGGGCCTCTTCCATGTTTGAATTAAATACTTTAACAGCAACTATTTCTTGATTTGAAAGAATTGCTTTGTATACTGATCCAAAACTTCCAAAGCCAAGAAAATTACTCTCATCAAATCTATTTGTTGCTCGTAGAAGCTCATAATAGGATATCTTGGTTGTTGTGTCCACATTTGTTAAATCCATGTTGCTTGGTTTATTGACATGGTCTCTCTTATGCTTGAGGAAGACATAGCATGAAACAACCAAAATGATAATTATGACAAGCAATGAGCTTATTATTAGCATCATCACTTTATTTGACATGTGCTTGTTTTCTTCCTTACATGGATGGACTTGTAGTTGAGACTTCCCACAAAGATCTCTATTCATTGTAAAAGATTTGGCTGTGAAATTTTGAAAGGGCCCACCCTTTGGAATTTCTCCATGCAATAAATTGTAGGAAAGATTAATGTATTTAAGACGGATTAATGATTCCAATGACTTTGGAATAACACTAGACAAATAATTGTGGGAAAGATCCATAGACTCCATACTAATCATTCCACCAAGTGATTCAGGAATAGGCCCCTGTAATTTGTTTTGGGCTAGAGATAAGGTTATCAAAGTTTGCATGCCACCCATGGTTGTAGGAATGTTACCTGAAATTTGATTTCTTGACATGTCCAATAGTGTAATCGCTCTCAAGTTTGATATCTCAAGTGGAATTGTTCCATTCAATGCGTTGGAGGATAGGTCTAAAACCAAGATATCCACGAGACTCCAAAGAGAAGAAGGTATATGAGAAATCAATTTGTTATAGCTAAAATTCATCTTTCTCAGGGAAGTATTATTAAGGCATCTTGGAATTACTCCTGAAAACATGTTGTTGGCAAGATTCAACTCACTTAGACTTTTGAGTTGGCAAAGTTCATTTATAATGGACCCTTGCAATCTATTGTTATTGAGGCTCAAGCCTTGAAGGCTATGTAATTTCTTAAATGTACCAGGAATCAACCCATTCAAATTATTCCAATGCAAACCTAATTCTATCAAGTTTGATAAGTTTCCAAGCACATTGGGTATAGCTCCACTAATTTTATTCCATGACATATCTAATGTAATGAGCTTAGAAGCATTAGATATGCTGCTTGGAATTTCTCCAGTTAATTCATTTGGCCCCAACAATAATATCTTTAGGTTGAAAAGGCCAACTCCTAAATATGGCGGGAGAAGGCCAGAGAAGGAATTTTCACCAAGCCGCAAGATTGTCAATGTTGAAATGTTGAATATATTGGAAGGAAGAGGTCCTCTCAAATGATTAAGGGTCAAGTCTAAGACTTCAAGTTTATCAAGTTTGCCTATGCCTTTGGGTACAAAACCTGAACATAGAAAATTGATAGGAAACATTAACTCTGTATAGCTCAAATAAGAATAAACGCAAATAAATTATTTTATTATTTTGAAAATTTTTAAAGTAAAAAATTAGGGATATCTCAAGATACCATGATAATAGAAGATTTATTTAAAATTAAAGTGTTCTATGTTGTAATTGTTGAATTATTATATACCAGGAAACTTAATAAATTTGTCAAATAGACAAAGGAACAAATGAAATTTTAAAAAAAACAGGAAAGCATGTATTCTTTAATAAAGGGCAGAGAAAAAATAGAGTTAAAGGTAACAAGAAACACTATTACAGATTTTGCCATATATACTAAATACTTGGTTTTTTGTAGCTATAATGCTAAATACTTGATGGTTAAAGAGAAGCATTGTCATATGATGAAAGGAAGATTGTACATAATTATATTTGATAGTTATAATGAAAACCATCAAGATGTTCATCCAATAGTTGACGGTTTACACCAAGATACTTATCCAATAGTTGAGGGTTTACTTACAAAACTATCAAATGTGTTTGTCAAAAAATAAATTGAAGTTTTACCTAACAAAACATTACTAGATGGTTATAAGGCATAATTGTGGAGTAAAAAAATTAATTGAACATTTTGCCTTCCTGTATAAATCTCGAATCAGTGTGAGTTCAGTGCTGCCATTAAGCATGACTATCCATAGCCAGTTTCCAATGTGCAATGATAATTGAAAAGAATCGTTTTCACTCTATTTTAAACTCCTTACCCTTATTTTCCTTTTATACAAGGAGAATCCTCCTCCTTCCCAATAAACATGATGTGACATTAAATAGCTCTCATAGCCTGTCCTACTTCTTAGTTATTTCCTCTGCCACCTCCACCCCCTCCTATTTGAGCCTATAATACTTCCTCAGTTGCCTCTAATGATGATGACAACGAGGATGAGGAGGAAGAGGATGAACAGCTAGTACTTTTATTTTGTATTTTTTAAAACTTTTTTTTGTGTTGATGTGCTTGGCAGTTCAAATAGTCATTGCATTTTATATAAAAATAATGTGTCAACTTGTTAGTTCTTAACTAAAGTATTTGTCAGTTTTGCAACCAAGACCATCAATTTTGCTGGAAATTTTTTTTATTAGACTAAGTGTTTCTCTATGGGGGTTCATTGGTGTGGTTTGTGAAAAAGAAAGATAATAGTTTAAGGTTATGCATAGATTATCATCAGTTGAATAAGGTCACAATTAAGAACAAGTATCTCCTTCTGAGAATTAATGACTTGTTTGACTAGCTCGTGGGTTCTTTCATGCTCTTTAAAATTGATTTAAGATTTAGCTATCATCAATTAAGGGTTAGGGCAAAGGACATTCCCAAGACTGCTTTTTAAACTTGTTATGGTCACTATGAGTTTCTAATAGTGCTTTGTGGATTAACAAACACTCCAACAGTGTTTATGGACTATGTTAGTAGGATCTTCAAGTCTTATTTAATTTAGTTTACTGTAGTCCTCATTGATAATATCCTTATATACTTAAAGAACGAGGAGCGTCGTAAACCCCTTCGTATTATATTACAAATATTAAGAGAGAACAAGTTATATGTCAAACTTAGCAAGTGTGAGTTTTGGTTGAAGGTGATAAAGTTTTAACGTCATGTGGTATTTGCCAAAGGTGTGGCAGTGGATCCAAGTAAAGTAGGAGCAGTGTTGAAATGGGAAACTCCTACGTCTGTGACTAAAGTAACAAGTTTTACAGGATTAGCCACACATTACCTTCAGTTCATTCAAGGTTTTTCTTAGATGGCCATGCCACCGACTAACATGACAAAGAAGGATAGGCCTTTTGTGTGGACAAAAAAATGTGCGGCCGCATTTCAAGAATTGAAAACAAAGTTAACCATGGCACCTATCCTCACTATACCTGAACCGTAACAACCATATGTAGTATAGACGAATGCTTCTTTGATAGGTTTGGGCTATGTATTGATGTAAGATAACAAAGTAGTAACTTATGCATCCAAACAATTGAGACCTCACAAGGAGGATTACCCTACCCACGACTTGGAATTAGCAGCAATTGTGTTTGCCTTAATGACTTGGTGGCACTATTTATACTATGTATAGTTTGAGATTTTTAGTGACCACAAAGCTTAAAGTACTTGGTGGATCAAAAAGAGTCAAATAATCGTCAGTGAAGATAAATGGAATTCTTAGCGGATTATGATTTTAAGTTGAAGTACCATCCAAGAAAGACTAATATGGTGGTTGATGCATTAAGTAGAAAGATAGTACATGTTTTTCTACATGAGTATAATAGAGCATCACTTTTTGGAGGAGTTGACTAAAATACTAGTTGTGGCTAAGATGACAAAGACGACTGTTACCTTGAATGTAGTTCTTGGAAAGTTTGACTTCTTTAAAGAGTTGAAGATATCCCAAATAGAGGATGAGGAATTATTGAGGATGAGAGAGGAATTAGTATAATAGAATCGCTAGAAGAGTTACACATATCAACGACAGAGGCCCTTGGAATTTGAATTGGATGACATGTGTTTTTAAAGGTTTCACTAGTGACTGGCATTGGTAGATCCATCAAGGCCAAAAAGTTGACTCCTCAATATCTTGGACCTTATGAGATTTTGGAGCGAATTGGACCAGTCACTTATCGAATTGCTTTACCACTATATCTCTCTAATGTGCATAATGTCTTTCATGGGTTATAATTCAAGAAGTATCATTCAGATCCATCTCATATGATTAAGCATGAGGAGATCGAATTACAAGAGAATCTCACATTTATGGCCAAGCCCAAATGCATTCTAGATATCAAGGACAAGCAACTCCAGAATAAAACAATCTAGTTACTTAAGGTTTTTTGAAAAGGCATGTCTCATAGTGATGCCACTTAGGAAACTGATGAATGGATGTGGCGTGATTATCCACATCTGTTTTCTTATGTGACGATGTGTTGATTGTGTGCTATCTTATGTGGTGTTAGTATATTTACTGTGTTTTTATTATTTTAATGTGGTTATCATCCTTGATGTTGTTGTGTCATTATAATTCTGATACGTGTTGCAGATTTTATTTAGGTGGAGAGAGCTATAACATCCTAAATTTTATTTTAGTATTTTAAAAAATTTATTATTATTTCATTAAAAAATAATTGAATAATATAAAATAATAATATTTTATTAAACAATGTAAAAAGAAAAAAGGGAAGAATTCAGTGAAAAAGTTGGAGACAATTTATTAGGGAGAGCTTCTGAGGGTAATTAAATATATCCCCGTAATTCACTTCCTCACTTTGTCTGATAAGAGAGGAGGATAGAAAGAGAGAGAGCAAGCGAGAAGTAGGTAATGGCTTCTCAATTTGCATTTGTGAAGGAGAAGATAAACTTTGGAGATAATTTAGGTACATAAAATTATTTGTCTTAATCAAACTTTTTTTTATGAATATTTTCTATCTATTTTAAACTTTCTAATGACAGTATTATTATAGTGATTAAAGAAAATTTTGGTGTTAGGTATGGAGTAAGTATTATGTTTTGACAATAGATGACCATAGAAATTTGTAGGTAAATAGGTAGTTAATTTTAATCAGTTTAGATTTGTCTATTTATTACTTTTAGTATTTAAAATTAAATTTTATTTGAAAATCTGTTATTTATGATATATATCATACTTATACTGATTAAAAATTATGTTAAATAATTTATTTGGATTGTTTAACATATTATTAAGATTTTAATTAGTTTAAAATATGAAGTAGGATAAGGATATATGATTAGAAAAATTTTGAAAAGCTAAAAACTCAAATTGGAAATTTAAAATTTTATACAATTAAATTAAATTAATATTTATTTATAATTTGAATGAGTTGTTTGGGCAGAGGAAAAATGTTAATTGAAGTCAGAGTTTTTGGGATAGTAAATATGTATATACATAACAACAACAACAACAATAAATTCTATATAATTAAGTTATTTATTTGCATGTATATCAAATTGTATCTATATTATTTGTAAGAGTAAAATACTCTGACTACCCTTCTATTTTGTCTTAATTACACGGACCTCCCTTCTATTTTGATAACATACATTTTAGTCCAAATCATTAACACCTTTAAGAAATATTCTAAAAAGATTCTTTACGTATGTTTTTAATTAAAAAATATTAGAATAAACCTTGTTTCCTACTTTACCCCTTATTATATTAAATCTATAGTTTATCTTTTAATATTAATATTTATTAATAGTCTATTTAATATTTTTACTAAATTTAATAAATTAAGACATAACTTTATAATTTTATTAAAAATACATATATACAATTACAAAACATTTTTTACTAATATATATTTAAAAAATTACATCAGAAGTAAGTTTAAATAAATAAACAAGATTTATTGTAAAATAAAAATTTGTATTTATAAAATTTATAATATGGTAATTAATTCAATAGTATAACAAAAAATATTAAAATATTTATTAAAATTAGTTTTTAATTTCAAATAAAGATGTATGATATGTCATTAAATGATAATTATTAGCAATGTTTGTATTAAGAAGGGGCAATTTGGTCAAAATAATGGGTCAATCTTATGATTTGATGGTCAACTAACAGATGGATGGATGAGAGTTGAATCTCTAAACTAGAAAGGAGGCCTGTGCAACATATATTTTGATTTTAAGGAAGGTTCATATATGTTTCCAAAATAAAAAGGAGGTCTTTGTAATTTAAGTTAAATAGAGGGGAGGTTGATGTATTTTACCCTAGTTGTAAATTATCTTATATTTCGGAGTTTGTAATTTGTACTTTTATTCCTTAAACTGTGAGGTTAAGCTTGGAATAGAGGTAACCAGAATTAATTTATTTTATATGCTTGATGTGAATTGTAAGGTTTTCTTGACCTTTTATATTGAACTAAACTAAGAAGTATGTGTTTATTTTTAAAATATTTATTTTTATATATTATAATTGATGAAGTGAAAAGTATGTTAACTCAAATATTATTGGTTTGTATTGCTTTAATGTTTGCTATTATGCATTCTTTTCTTCTTTTTCTTACTAAACTCTTATATTGCAAGTGAGAATGAATTATAGACTTTTAAAACATAATATAGGCTTTTAAACAGGTTTGAAAAGTTATATATAAACTTGGAGGTAAAGACTTTTAAGCCTATTTAAAAACCTACATTTTAAGTAGGTCTTTAAAAAGGTTTTAGGTCTTGTTAGGCCTTATTTAAAGGCTCAGGCCTAATAAAAGTCTCTATATATGTTCAAGCTTGAATTCATGCTTTGTAGATCTATTGCAGATCTAGACCTATTTAGCTAAAACTTGACCTAAGTTACTTCCATCATATCTAATTTGAAATTAATGATTTTTGTACAGTAGAAAGTTATACTTGAGTATGAATGACAAATGATATCACACAGTTCCATGGTTACATGATCTACCTTAGCTTTCTTTGTCATCTTGGATGAACAATATAAATAAAATGATGAAAAACAAAGGATCATTTTAGAGAAAAATAATTAAGGAGAACAAAAAAAGTACACGTGAGCACATACCTGTCAATGAGTTGCCATCCAAATATAATTCTTGCAAAGATGTGCAGTTATTTATTGATTGTGGAATGCTTCCCTCTAATTGATTATCATTAACAACGAATGCTTCTAGTAAAGGAAGTTGATGACACATTTCTTCTGACAAATTACCATTTAAATGATTGAATGCAAGGATAACCTCTCTCAGGGAGGACATGTTCCAAAGAAATGAAGGAATTCCACCTATAAAAAACACGCAAATATTTATTTGTTGGTAGTAAGTCTAAACAATTTCCTAACTTCACACAAAAACAACTAAATCGTACGTGAAATATAATTTTGTTAGGGGCATAAAAATAATAGAGTATGATTTTTCCTTTGTTTTCTTTCTTTCTTTGTTTTTTTTTGGGGGCGGGGGGACCAGATTGTTATATTTTGAATTAAAGTGATAAATTACATTGCTCTATAACTTCAACAATAAGTTCATCATACGAAAAGAAAGACTAAAATTTTAGTTTTTATTCAACATACTTCCAGTTACATATTCTAGGGATAACATAGAATAAGCTTTCTTTTGTGCGCGGCACCCTCACATAAAAATCAAATGGATTTTCGCAAAAAGCCCTTTGAGCCACGATTTTTCCTGACAAGAAAACTCAAAATTATTGGTTAAGAAAAATGGTTTGCATTAAACTTATCAAGTATAATATACTAATTTTTACTCTTTTATGATCATTTCAGTTAAAAATTTTGCAAGCAATGTACAATGAGCATAAATAATAAAAACGAAAATTTTTTAAAGACTAAAATTAAGCAATGGATAGATTGATATTCAAATTGTTTTCCCATAAATGCACACTTCTTGAAGTAGGAATGCAGAAAAGAGACGATATAGAAGTTCATCTGTCTCAATTTCAAAATAAACATATTTAATTAATGTATTGATAATTGAAGATGCAGCATATATATATATATGTATACACACACGTACAGATATACATATATATATATATCTATATATGTATATGTATCATGAAGATTACTTTATTTTTGAATGATTATCATGAAGATTACTATGCTCCAATTTTCTGCCTTTGTACAGTCAGTGTTCATACTTTACACCATACATGTGTGTATTATAGAGAAGATTTCTTTTTTTTCCCCCCCTTCACCATTTTATTTTTATTTGTAATATTGTTTTTATCAATTTATATTAATAGTAAATAATACTTTTATAATTTCTTATAATATTTTATTTCCTGATAAATTATTATATAAAATATGTACATATATATGATAATATAGAACTAAAATATAATTATTTTTTTAGAAAAGCAACGACATTAAATGATGCATATAAATTACTTTTCATGTAAGGCAGATGGTTCTTTTCTTGGGATCAATGGGGGATTCGTTGAAAAATTCAATTGCCGGCTGTGCATATTAATTAAAAAACAAGAGAAAACGTTTTTTTTTTTTGGGAGCGGGGGGGGGTCGCCATTGAAAAGAAAATGCAAGGAAAAATAAAAAATAAAAGGCTGGAAAAAACTTGTAATCCCAACTAGTCCTTTCCATCATTCTTATTGGATTATTTTCCATCAGGCTGCCTTTTTTTAATGATTCAATATTTTATTTCAGTTTTTAAAAAAATTTTAAGCAACTTATGACTCCATACCTTTACATGCATGCATCTGTGTGAAAATTATATACATATCCCATTTTATCAACATATAATATGACCTAAATGATAGAGAATAAAAAGAGAGAATGGTAACAACACTTTATTTAATGTTGACAATACTAAATTTACAAATGACAATAAATTTTTGTTGAAATTTCTTATTTGGTATTTACAAATTTTTAGCTTCTTTTTTTGTTATTTTTCCACACAAAAATCTCATTTCAAATTTATTGATGTTCTTTTTTTCTTTTTTGCCATGTTCATTTTGGTATTAAAAGAAAGCATAAAGTCTGATGTCTTTTATATCTAGCAAAATAATTATAACTAATGTCTTGTGAAATATTGAAATGCAGAAATTAAGACAATCATGAAATAATTACAACTCTTACCTTGCAAGTTGCTGTCGCTAAGAGATAATGAGTGGAGTTTGGTCAAATTTCCAATCCCACTTGGTATCTTTCCTTTGTTAAACTTGTTGCCACCTAATTGTAACTCGACTACTGCAGTGCATTGATGCCAAACTGAGGGTATTTTGCCAGATAAATCATTTCCGTGTGCATAAAATAATTCAAGTTTTGGAAGTCCCAAACATATATTTGTTGGGAGAGTACCAGATAAATGATTCCTTCCAAATGCAATATGTTGCAGCGTTGAAATATTAAATAATGAAGATGGTATTGAACCAGTAAGTTGATTCACTCCAAGATGCAATGATTTTAGTCGTGAAAGATCACCGATCTCATTGGGGATGCCTCCTTGAAATATTAAGGGGAGAAGTGATGTTAGTAACCATTTTTTTTCCCCAAAACAACTACAAAAGAAAGCCAATAATTTAACAGTTAAATAAAAATATCATAGTAGTCGAAGCGGAGGTTGAAGAAAATATTTATTTAACTATTTATAAAATAGTCAAATATTAAGTAGATATAACCAATAAGAACCATCAAATTTTAGGTTCAAAATATTTAATTTAAATTTCACTTTCAAATAAATTAATTTGATTTGCCATTTAGGATAAGAACAAAATGGATCTGGGAAGTGGCGACTCGGAATCGCCATATTAAGCTTGGCCTTTGATTTTTGGACATGGCTTTTCCTTCCACCTCATGGTCCAAATATATCCTCAATGGCGGTACATGATATTATATGATTTTTTCTCTCTGGTTTCCCCCCCGGCCAACGATATTCTATGATCTGAACAAAATAATACTCTTCTGATCTTAAATATAAGACTCTTATACATATTAGTATGAAAGTCTTATATTCAGAACCGGAAGGGCATGTACTTATTATAAGAGCTATGCAATTGCTAAAGTCAAATAAGTCTTTTTCATCTGACAGGTAAATAACTATCAAATCAATTAGGTTACATCTATATTTATATATGATGGCTCTCAAAGTAATTATTTATAGATGAAATAAGATAACCGTAAAATATTTTTATTTATGTAGCAGCTAGTGATGTATCACAAACAAGACTTGCACATTTTTTATCGAGAATAATACGAATATGTTCTAAACGAACAAAAAGAATAATAATCTTACCATAGACTAAATCTGGCTATGTATTTCATTGAGAAATTTGGATGGATTCAAGGAGGATTAAAAAAAATAATAATAAAGAAATTAACCACACATTGCAATTCTATGGGCCATTTTTTTAATCATTAAAACCGATAACAAAAACACATTTGTTTCAAGACTCCCAAAAACAAAATTCTTTTTGTTATTTGTCTACAAACTTTTTTAAAATAATAATGACCAATGAATAATAAAATTAAAATATAATTTAGATTATCAAAATCAAAACTAAGTGTCCCGTATATATATGTGTTCCTTGTAAGGCTTGCAATATTTGAAAAAAGACTTCAAAAAACTTTTAATGACAGAATAATAAACATTTAAAAAAAAGAAGAAATTAACCACACATTGCAATTCTATTGGCCATTTTTTTTAATCATTAAAAACGATTAAAAAAAATTTGTTTCGAGACTCCCCAAAAAAATTCTCTGTGTTATTTGTCTACAAACCTTTTTAAAATAATAATTACCAATGAATAATAAAATTAAAATATAATTTAGATTATCAAAATCAAAACTAAGTGTCCCATAGATATATGTTCCTTGTAAAGCTTGCAAGATTTGAAAAAAAAAACTTCAAAAAACTTTTAATGACAGAACAATATTATAACAGTATTCGTTTGGACTAATATTTTTTTTTAGTTGAATTGCTTGGACTAATATTATAACAGTATTCTTTTCCCCTCATGGAATGACTATATTAACCGTTCAAAATTTGGATCACCAACGGTTTTTTTTTAATTTTAAAAAGAATAGAAAATGTGGGCAAAATCAAGAAAAATATATAAAAATACAAAAAATAAATAAAAACAACAAAGACTAACACAAATTGTGAGGGATAAGATCCTGCTAACCAAATACACTAGTTTATAGAAAAAGGAAAAATAGAAATATTGAAGAAATAGTAAAAAAAACATACCTGACAAACTGTTATAAGATAAACTTAATAACTCAAGTGAAGATAAGTTGGAAATTGTTTGGGGTATAGCTCCTGAAAGTTTGTTACGCCCAAGTCGTAAAAGCTGCAACTGCTCAAGTCTGCCTACCTCAAGTGGAATGGTCCCTTCAATAAAATTATAAATCAAATCTAAAGCTACCAACCTTGACAAATTAAATAGAGATAGTGGAATGAATCCATCAAGACTGTTATTTTGAAGATGTAACTGCTCAAGTAAAGATAAAGCTCCAATTTGTAATGGAACTTGCCCATGAAAATCATTGTAGCTCAAATTCAATTGTTTCAATCTACGCAATTCAACTAACTCTTCAGGTATTTGACCATGAAAATAGTTGTCACCAAGATCAAGTTCAACAAGGAATGAGAGATTCCCTAAATGTGGAGGAATAGTGCCCTTAAGATCCATCCCACCAAGATTTAGGGAGTGGACCCTTCCATGAGGATTACATGTGATACCAACCCAATTGCATGGAGGAAGGGAAACGGACCAATTGACTAAAAAATTGTATGGATCTGAGGTGATAAGGGATTTAAGGGCGAGAAGTGCATATTTGTCGGAAGTGATGTTTGTATCAATCGAAGCTAAGGTGGCTGTGAAATAATGAAGCAAGAGCAGGAAAAACAAAGAAGGTGGTTTTCCCATGTGTGGTGTATCAGGCTTATCAAGATTTCAAACCTTGCGCATCCATCTATTAGCATACACACATCGTTTTATCCTTCTCTGGTTCCATATCAAGTCAAGTCATACTAACTAACGCGGTGTCACAAAAGGACATCTTTTGCGATGAGATTAAAAGAAATTCAAATAAAGAATTAATTAGCACGCTTAAGTCAACGGATTATATTTGCTTTCACATGTACTTTCTGATACTTTTTTGGCTTCATCATTTTATTCGCGGTCAAGTGTGGGAGCTATGAAATAACCTAAAATGCACGTTAATGAGAAGCAGCTTTGTCCTTTAATTTCATTGTGTGTTGAACAATTTCGCTTCTGGGACTGTTATTTAATTTATGGTCAGATCTGGTAGGCTACACACACACCTATATATATATATATATATGTATGTATGTGTATATAAGCCTATGAAAAGTATAACAACAACAAAGCCTTCTTCTATCGGGTGGGGTCAACTACATGGCTCGTAAGACGCCGTTGAATTCTATTCAAAACCAAATCTTTGAATATATTATTAATTGAAAGATCTCATACAATGACTTCATTAATTGTTGTCTTTGGTTTTTATCTGCTCCTCTTTAAAGGACTCCATATTCTTTGGTCAATTCTTCAAATAAGCCTATGAAGAGTAATAGAAGAAAAACATTATTGAAAAAGACCTTGCCCTCATACATTGTTCCTTCAATTATGCATTTCCTTTTTAATTTTTATTCTTTTATTCTTGGATTATCCCTTTCTTGATTACTAAATATTTATAGTTTTATGGATATGGAAATTCTACCAATATAAAATGCTCCGTTATAATTTACATGAAATCAACCAACCATGCATGAAATCTAAACTGACAAAAGAAATCATTGTTTTGTGTTCTCCCTCATTCTCAAACAATAATCAGTAATATGTTTTTATGAGCTTGTAGTTGATTCAAGACACGAACAGTATAATTTAATACGTATGGAATCATCATTTCATAGAAAATTTGCGAGTAAAGCAAAAATAATAAAACATTAGTGAAACAACCTTCCTAAATAAACAGATAAACTTAATTTTTTCATAGTAATTTCAAGAAATAAGTTTTTACAATCAAACCATGCTAACAACAAACTCAAATTATATCACAGTCTTATAAACCAACTAATTATATACTAATGTTATCTGTGATAGAAAAGAACAACATCCAATGATATACCCTATTATGGATAACAGAACTTTTCTCAACTCATTCAAATGCAAACCATGTAAAAAAGGATCAATCTCATCTAATATGATTATAAAACAACATATTATATAGCTCACAAATATAAATAGTGAGACTTAAGTATTAATTCATATTTTATAATAAATTTATAATAAATAGATCACATGCAATTTTAGGCCTCTGACCAACTATCAGCACGCATACCACAACAGAACAAATTAAAAGACACAAAAACATGATAATGCATGAATCAACTAAACACAGTTTGTCCTAAGGTGGTAATATATAAGAAACAACATAGCTCATAGATCAAGGAGGAGCTATAAATCGCTACTGTAACTTTACCCCTCCTAAACCTTCCCTAACATCCCTCCTTTAAAGGTTTCACCTGAAAAATGTTAAATAATAAGCGTGAGACAACGTTTCAGTAACTTAATCCCTACCTATCATACACACTAACATGAGCTAGTGATCTAACCCATTTATTATATATTATTTCATATCATTTTGTGAGTTATTATGGGCTTAATTGTACATATTTGTGTCTAATATGGTTTAGATGTCTTTTACATAGAGTTAATGTCTTTTGGGATTAAAATTATCATAATTAGTAATTAATTGTTATTAATTAATTTCTAGGACACTTGGTACTTCATTTAGACTAATTTTGATTGCAGGACACAAGAAAAGTGGAGCTAAGATTAAAGACCAAAGAACAACACAACACAAAATGAAGGAAGAGCAGTTCCGTGAAATCCGCCATGGTAGATGGACACATCCGTCGCGAAGCCTGGCACGTTTATGAAACAATGCATTTTACTTACAAGATCTAATTCTAAATGATACCCACACAAAATCCAATCTAGACCTGGCTAGAACACCTCAAGACTGATGCATTTTCTAAAACCTAACCAAATTTACTCATTCACAACCTTTTCCATTCGTTTTATCTCATCTTCTTCACTCTCCTTCACCAAATCGTCATTTTCTTCCATTTTTTTTGCTCATTTTCCACCATGGGTAGCTTGAAATTACTACTGCATGTGGTGTTTTCTGATCCAATGTGTGGCTAAGCTTCTGTTCTCTTGAAGATGTGTTGATTGGCTTGAGTTCCAAGGGCTTTAAAGAGGAGTTAGCTTCAACCATAGTTCTAGTTATCTCTTTATGAATTCCTAGGTCTTGTGATTTGTAAATTATGGCTAAACTATTTTGATTAGGGTTGTAATCAATTTTGGATGGTTATCTTGTGAATGTGATCAATTGATGTGCAACACTCTTGATACTCTGTTTCTTATTGTTGAGTTAATCTGGATTTATATTGAACCAAGTACATTAATTAATCCTAGTACACATACTAAGTAAGTTTAATAGGATTTTATGAGATGGGTAGCCATTAATTAAGATTTTTAACTTAAAGGGTACTTTAAGGTTTTTAAAACTTAGTAATTTTCTTTCCCAAAATCATTTTGAACTATGATGGCCAAAGATCAATTTTCAAGAGGTTTTATTAATTATTTTTAGCTTATTTTCGATCCATACCATTCTAATTTCCCAAGGATCCAAAATTATATTTACATTGCATTTCATCTCAACTAATAGTTTAAATGAAAACCTCCAACTTTTTTCTAGTCAATTTACATTTTCATGACATTTAGTTAACCTATGATCAATAATTAATGCTCCAATAAGTGAGACGATCTGAGGTTGTACCTATAGTATAGGCTTTAGTTTTAATTTTAAATTTGACCCCAAGATGTAAACAAAACAGGGTCTTATTTCAGCTAGCGAGGTGTTGAGTGGGATATGTAGAGTTAATAATAGTCAATAGACATTTATTTAACAGTTAAACTCATAATACCCATATAAGGTCAAATATTTTTGCCAGTCTCATGCAGCCAATAATATCATAAGGGATAACATACTTTTCATTTATATAAACTATATAAATATCAATAAAGATTCTATACCATATGCAATCTACGAAGTCAAATCTACCCTTATATCCTTCTTATTTCTACCGACTAGGCTTGTAGCTAAGTTCTTTCCATTTGACTGGCTACTCTCATAAACTCACCATCTTACAACTTACTTTTATAATACTTTAGAGTCCATTAAAAACCATTTTGAACCACTTTGGATGGTCTTAAACTCATAAAAATGCAATCTGAATGCTGATTTTTGGAAAACATTGTTCATTTGGTAATTTCAGATTTTTTGTCTAATTTTGAAAATTCGTACCTAATTCTAGAAAAACCAAAACTAAGTGCTTCCAAGTTCTATAGAAATCTCTTTGAATTCTATTTCAAGAAAAAATACTCTTGTGAATCAAATCCTTTTGACTCACTGCCAGATTTTTAGGGAAGTTACCATTGTTACGTTGGTAAAAACTTTTTTTCAAATTTCAAACATTAACTTTGAAAAATCACCATAAATCGTACTGATGTCCAAATTTAAAATGCTACCTATTGATTTGAAGCTCAGGACGTGAACTATAAGTATGTCAAATTTCATGATTTAATTCATTTGGTAACACAATCAAAACGCAACTCCAAGTCAACGGTCTAAATAGGGTTACAGCATCGAAGCACATATAATTATACATAACCAAAAGTCAAATGGTTTTGTGGTTTAACACCACATTCACCTTTAAATTTGCAGCTTCTTCTCGGATGACTCAGCCCCTAGGATGTTAGATTACATTTGACAGGAATGAGATTTCATTGAAATCCCAATAGCAAGAATAATCAATTATAACATCAAGCATGCATCATTATTATGCATATCAACATTAGTTACCATTGGAGAACTAATTCTCTTATAATTAGGCAATCTCAAGCATGCAAAAGCCAAGGTAATAAAATGCAAGGAGGAGCCATATCACAATTATTATAGTTCACCCACATAATAGCAATCATCCATCCAATAATAAATAATACAATGTCAATATTAGTAATTAATTAAATCTTGCTACCTTGCTTCAATAGCTCCTTGATTCTTTGCTCTTCTTCCTTCCCTCTACAAATATCAAACCCTAACATCACATTGCACAAAAGGGATAGACACATTACAATCCAAACATCACAATAATCAATGGCAAACTCAAGTAACCCTTTAATCCTTAATTCTTTGAATTTTGGAGTTTTGTTTTCTTTAACCTAAAAATTCCTTTCTTAGGTCAATCTTACATAGTTTTTCATGTAAAATCCAAATATGAACTTGGATTCATGAAAAGAAACTTCTTTCTCCAAGAACTATAGTTGGCCAAATAGGGGGTCTAGGTTTCCAAAAATTACAACTTTAATTCTAATGCTTTCAATGCTTGTTTTTTAGGTTTACCCTACATCATTTTCCATTTTAAACACAATGGAAGCATCAAAACTATGAAAAACTCATCCGAGGGTATAGTTTTCAAAGTGGCCGAATAGCACCCTTTAAGAACCAACTATGAAATCTTTCAAACAACAACTTAAAACCCCTTGAAACATCCTTGAATCAATGTGTTTTAACTAGGTCTAACATCAAAATCTCCTTCTCCTAACCTCAACACATTTCGTCCAGAAACATCAAGAGGGAAGAACATATTTTTCAACCATCAAACTCAAGGAAACAAAACAAGATACAACGTATAACTACTTACTAACCTTATCTCCAAACTTAGATGACCAAAGGTAGTAGCTTTCTTCTTGCTTGAATTTCAAGAAAT